ACTAATATCGATATATTTTTGTCAATTTTTTATGATATCTTCAAACATATATTTTATTCCATAAATAAAAACATCATTGTTTTTTCAAAATCACATAAATCATATTATAACATCGACTGAGATAAATAATAAAATGAAATATTAAAATCACGATGTATCTCGCTGCATTGCGCGAGTACGCTTCTAGTATGTATGTACGCTTCTAGTATGTATGTATGTATGTATGTATGTATGTATGTATGTATGTATGTATGTATGTATGTATGTATGTATGTATGTATGTATGTATGTATGTATATATATATATATATATATAACATCTAGACGTTAATGTTTCATTTTATTTATTTTTGTCTTGGTCGATATCATAATACGGTTTTATGTGGTTTTGAGGAAACGATAATATTTTTATTTTTAAACAAAATATAAATATTAAGATATCATAAAAATTTGAAAAAAAATATTTTTTTGATTAACCTGGATATTCAACCCACTATGCGAGTTGACTAATCCCAGGACGACCACCTGTTTTGTAGATAGGCCAGAATCACCGCATTTGAACCTCTGTGGCCAGAAGGGGATTTTCATTCCTCCTTGGATTTGAACCTGAGACCTCCTGGTACCTTTAACATTTGGAGTCAAACTCAAACCAATCAAACACCACCATTGTGGTTAAAAAATATTGGTATTAGTACTAAAGTAATTATTTAAAACTTCTTCTTTTTTGTATATTTCTTTAAATCATTTTCTTATTTTTAGTTTAATAATATAATTTTTATAAAGATCATAATTAAGTATTTTGTTATAACTCAATGATTATTCTAATTATATTTTAGATTTTTTATATTTAAAATTAGATGTTATCCTCTATTTAGTTAAGTTTATCTACAGTTAGTTACATAAATTCAAACATGAAGCTTTAGTAAGTTGTACTTACGCACTATTTACTTGTAATCTTGAATTTTAAGTAATATGCATTAATAAACAGTATTTCATACATAAAAAATAGTTTTTAAGAGTTTTCATCAAATACTTTATAATATCTATACTATATTATAAAACATTTGACAAAAAAACTCTTAAAACCTACTTTTTATGCATAAAATATTGTTTATTAATGCATATTAATTAAAACTCAATAGTACAAGTAAATTGTGCGTAAGTACAACTTATTAAAGCTTCATATCTGAATTCGTGTAACTAACTGCTGATAAACATAATCAAATACAGGATAAACATCTCATTTTAAATATAAAAAATCTAAAATATAATTAGGATAATTATTGAGTTCTAACAGAATATTTAATTATAATATTTATAAAATGTTATATTATTAAACCAAAAATAAATTATTTCATTGTTAAACTTAAATTAAATTATAAGAAAAAAATAAATTAAAGAAATTACATAAAAAAATAAAAACGTTTAAATAGTTGATTTGATATTAACATTGATATATTTTTTTTCTTCAACTTTTTACGATATCTGTAAATTTATATTTTATTTAAAAATAAAATCATTATTGTTTTCTTAAAAACATATAATTTATACTATATTATAAAGTATTTGACAAAAACTCTTAAAAACCACTTTTTATGCGTAAAGTACTGTTTATTAATACATATTACTTAAAACTCAAGATTGCAAGTAGATTGTGCATAAGTACAACTTATTAAAGCTCAATATCTGAATTCGTGTAACTAACTG